GGAGGAGGAGGAGGAGGAGGAGGAGGAGGAGGAGGAGATGGCTGGGCGATGCAGCAAGAAAGTTTCATTGCAGGAGGCGGAGGAGGAGGTGGAAGAGGAGGAGGAGGAGGAGAACGAGGAAGAGCAAAGGGGAAGGGGAGAATGATGTTTTCGTGCAAGGTGTATCATGATTATGTCAAGAAATACTTCCGCGGTGTCTTGAAGGTCTTTGACCTCATTGCTCCTCCTCGTGTTGCTGACATCAATATCAGCCGCCTTTCAACAAACAAGCTCGTCTGGAGGTACCTTCCCTTCTCCTCCCTCCTCTCCTCTCCTCTCCCCTCCCCTCCCCTCCTTTGCTCTAACAGTTGCTCAGGCTGGCATGACGGAGGACTGGTACCTGCCCCTAGCAGGAGCAGAGAACAATCAGGGAGAAGAGAAGGAGAGCGCAGGCAAAGAGAACAAGCAAGAGGATGCAGGAGGGAAAGAGGAGGCGAAGGGGAAGGAGGAGGAGGAGGAGGAGGAGGATGATATGCTGAAGGTGAGGAAGGAATGTTTGTGACGTTGAGCTGACAGCAGCTACAGGTGGCCGGGGAGGTCGACTCCTTCTTCGAGGCCTTGAACTCATAAAGGGGGAGAGCGCGTGGGGGAGGATAGGGAGCGAGGAGGAGGAAGGGGAGGATTGAGGAAGAGACGTTCGTAGTCGACTTGGTCTTATCTTCCTTTACATGCTCACCAACCAGCAGTTTGCCTTTCTTGCCCCCCCTCCCTATCTCTCCTCCTCATGCTCTTCCAGCAGTACATCATCGAGCTCAGCCTTCTCCTCCTCCTGTCTCCTCCCTTCTGCCTCCTGCCTCCTGCCTCCTGCCTCCTGCCTCCTGCCTCCTCCCTCTCTTGACGCCAGCAGCGCTATGCTCATCCTCCTCCACAGCTGCGTCGCGTGCTCCTTCCTGCTCTTGTTCCTCTTGTGCTGCCTCTGCTTCGTCCCTGGCTGCGGCGTCTGAATCGACTCAGGGATGTCGCCCATGCTGGTGCTCTCAGCTCCCCACCTGAACGTGTTGGCCTTCTCAAGTCGATCCAGCGCGACTCTAGGAGGACGGTAAGTCTGCCTCGAGTGCAGCTTGAATCCCTCGTCCTCGTACACGTCCTCCTCTTGGTCCTCGTCCTCCTCCTCCTCCTCCTCTTTGTCGAGCTTCGGCCCACCAGCAAGCTTCGTCGCTGCGGCTAGGCCCTTCTCGAACGCGTTCTGCAGGATGTCTGCTCGCTTCTTGGGGTCCTCCTCCTCCTCATCATCATCCTGGCTCGACGCGCTGTGAGCATCATCGTCGTCCCTTTGCTTCGTCCACAGCGTGTGGTAGACCAGCTGCTTCGGGTTCGGCTTCTGCCCTGGAGGGTAGCGAGCTCGAGCCTTGGGGAGGGTGAGGGGGATGGAGGGCCATTCCTTCTTGTACCTCCTGTGGAGGCAGCAGACCACGAGGCCGGCGAGGAGGAGGGAGGCGAGGAAGCTGAGAAGATTGATCTCGTTGTTGTTCAGCTTGAAGAAGACGGGGATGGGGAAGTCGCACGTGAAGGCAGCGATCTTTACCCCCAGCTGCTTCCCATCTGTGTAGTAGGCCAGCCCGACCTCCACCTGCAGCGGGAGGTCGTAGTTTGCGCCTGCCAGGTAGTTCGTGCAAGCTGGGGTCGTGCAGAGGATGGAGGTGTCGGAGGTCCAGCTAGCCCGCTTGCAGCTCGTCTCTCCTATCGTCGCCGTCGGCGAGTAGTCCAGCACCCCGAAGTTCGACCCGAAGATCGTCAGCGGCCGGTCTCCTTCAGCTGGGCCGTTGCTGGCGTAGGGTACTGCCTTGGACCATGGGGGGTTGCCGGTGGTGAACCCCATGACCGCCGGCGCGTTGTAGGAGAAGAAGGACTTGAGGTCGCTGGCCTGAGAACCCACCACGATCCCAGCTGGGAGGTTCTGCCCGACGCCGGGCCCGGGGTCTGGGTAGACCCCGAAGGAGCAGAGAAGGGAAGAGTCCGAGACCCAGGTGGTGGTGTAGCAGGCAGTGTCCCCGACTGTCAGCTGGGGAATCTCGTACTTGGTGCAGTCTCCTCCGCAGCGTTCGGCCCCGAAGCCGGAGCCGAGGGCTGTGATGGTGGAGCCGCCGGTGGTCGGGACGTGGGGGGGCTGGTAGGCCGCGATGACAGGCCGGTCGTAGGAGAAGAGCGAGCGGGACGAGTCGGCGGTGCGGAGGTAGAAGTCCTCTCCTCCCTTGGCCAGCAGGGTGGCGTACACTTTGTGCCCGGTCCCGACGCTCTGGGGGGTCTCGCAGATGAGGGAGGAGTCGGAGACGAAGGTCGTCGACTTGCACTTCTTGCTTGCCGCCCACACTTGATGCCCGTAGCTGGGCTGGGTGCCGAAGTTTGACCCGACCAGCGTCATGTTGACCGACCCCGTCGTCGGCGAGTTGATCGGCTTCACGAACTGCATGGCGGGCTGGTCGAAAGAGAAGGCCCCGACCTCCGACCCCAGCTGCTGCTGGACTGTCAGCGCCACGGTGCGGCAGATCGCATTGGTGATGGACTGGGGGCCCCCGCAAACTGTGGAGTAGCATTCGGCAGCTGGGACTTGCGCGAACACGGAGCATTCGGCAGAGGAGATTCCTCCTGGGAGCGAGCAGAGCACTGCAGTGTCTGCCATCCAACGTGTTGCGCTGCATGCGCTACCCACCATCCTGGCAGCCACGGAGCTGTCGAAGTAGCCGAAGGACTTGCCGGTGAGCTGTACGAAGCTGCTGCCTTTGGTGGGCCCGTTGCCGGGGAGGACGACATTGAGCTGGAGGGAAGTCAGTGACAGGAGGGGAGATAGCACTTGTGCAGAGGAAGACAGCGGAGGGGAGCAGAGCAGAGGGGGTTCTATGGAATGAAACAGGGCAGGACGGGAGGTTTAAGGGATGAGGAGAGGAGGAGGGGAGGAGAGGAGAGAAACAAAGTCGAAAAGATCTCACTTCAGGGGGCTGGTACTGTATTCTGCCCGGCAGCTTCCCGCTCCTCGCCGCTGCCTCTAGCAGGACAGAGGACAGCGTGTTTGCGGAGGACATCACCGTCACCTGCACCTCCTTGTCCGCCCCGACCCCAGCTGAGAGCTGGCACAGCAGAGTGCTGTCGGAGTTCCACGAAGTCTTCATGCACGCGCTGCCGCCGTTGCTGGACTTGTGGCTCATGACGTCTCCTGAGATCTGAAAGCGGCTGCACCAGGTCCTGTTGCAGCTGAATGCGCCGAAGGACTCGCCGAAAAAGGTCATGACGGCCTTGCCCGATGTCGGCTGGAGGGAGGTGGGAATGCTTGAGAGCTCTGGAGCGTTGTAGGTGAAGATCTGACTGAGCGATCGGCTCTGGCCGTCGATCATGAGGGAGACGTCTTGCTGGGGGCCGAGTCCAGCTGGGACTCTGCAGATGATGCTTGAGTCGGAGAGCCAGATCAGGTTGATGCACTCGGTGCCTGGAAAGCTGTCAAGTGATGGAAGCGAGAGAAAAATGCGGGGGGAGTGAGGGAACAGGAGGGGAGACGAGAGCAGATGAGACGAGAGCAGAGCAGAGCAGAGCAGAGCAGAGCAGAGCAGAGCAGAGCAGAGCAGAGCAGAGCAGAGCAGAGCAGAGCAGAGCAGAGCAGAGCAGATGAAAGAAGGAAAGGAGAAGAGGAAAGGAGGAGCGATTAGCAGTGCATGAGGTAGATGGGTAAGGGGATCAAACATCCATGTTGCTCACCTGTCACATAACCGTGGAAGTTGGAGGCACACAAGACGCTGTTGACGCTCTGAGTTGTTGGGCTCTGTGACTGAGTGAGCGGGAAGAGAAGAGAGCAGAGCAGAGCAGAGCAGAGCAGAGCAGAGCAGAGCAGAGCAGAGCAGAGCAGAGCAGAGCAGAGCAGAGCAGAGCAGAGCAGAGCAGAGCAGAGCAGAGCAGAGCAGAGCGTTTGCAGCTCACCACTTTGTTGCAGTTGATGCCGTCAGGGTTAAGACTGAACTCGCAGGAGAACTTGAGGAAAGGAGGGACGCAACCGTACACGTCCTTGTCGACGGTGCAGACTTTCTCCCAGTACTGCGCTCGTACTCAGAGGAAGAGCACAGGAGGCAGGAGGAGCAGGGACGGAGCACGAGCTACTGGTAAGGAGCAGGAGCGGACAAGGGGACAGCGGCAGGAGCAAGAGCATGTCCTTCTCAGTTGAGATGGGGGCAGGAAGTGGGGAGGAAGGTGGGGAGGGAAGGAGGAGGGAAGGGAGGAGGGAGGGAGGGAGGAGGGAAGGGAGGAGGGAGGGAGGGAGGAAGGAGGGAGGAGGGAGGAACAGCAGGAGAGTGCATTCTTCTTCCTGTTACCTGGCATCCGAGACCAAGGGGGATTGCAACGCACTTGCTGCCACCCGCACACACAGCGTTCGAGTTCGCACAGACCGCAAAGTTGTCCTTGGAGCTTCCGACGCAGAGAAACCTATCAACATAACCATCAGCCCAGCCATGACAGGAGGGAAGGAAACAGAAAGAGAAGGGAGGAGGGAGGAGAGGAGGAAGGGGGAGAGGAAGGGGGGGGGAAGAGGGAGGGAGGGAGGCAGGCAGGCAGGCAGGCAGGGGATTGGAGGGAAATGGAGGGGATGAAGAAGGAGGAAGGAAACGACAGACCTAGCGGCAGTACACTGTGCAAATGTCCCACAAAGAGCGCTGGCACAGGTGCTGGCACCATTGGGGCAGTAGCAGGGGGTCCCGTCGTACGTCGCGTCACCCACACAAATGAACTCCAACCCAGCCGTCAGGGCTCGATTCGGCTCGCTCGTGGCCAGGTGGAGGTCGATGTAGTAATCGTTCATGGGGAAGCGGGAGAGGGCATACGACTGAACTGTGGTTGCCACCTGCACGGTCGTGCCCGTGGAAGAGTCCAGCAGCGTCCACTTGCTGTTGCTGTACCCGAAGTTCTTGCCAAAGATCGTAATCAGCGCGTAGCCGACAGCAGGGGAGTTTCCTGGACCCACGGAGGTGATGGAAGGCTTGTCATAGCTGAAGACGTTCTTGACACCCCCCTTGGACATGATCAGGGTAGGGGTACAAGCCTCTAGAGCCGTGTCTTGACACTCGTAGATGGACACGTTGACTGGCAGATTGCCCCCTGTCCCAACAGGAACCGAGCAGAACATTGACGTCGAGCTCACCCAGCGGGTCCACTGGCAGTCCGTCTCCCCGATGGCGGCGGCAGCGGACACCATGAAGGGAGCGAAGTTTTGGCCAAGGATCGTTACCATGCGATCGCCAGAGGTAGGACTGTTGGGCACCATGACTTGCCGTTCTGCTGGGCGGTCGTAGGAGAAGATGTTTATGAGGGGAGAGTACGCGTTGGTGTCCCTCCTGTACCTTCCCGCCACCAAGTTCATCCCAAGGTTGATGCCGATACCCGGCGGCACGCTGCAGCTGATGGAGCTGTCGGAGGTCCAGTTGACGTTGCTGACCTGCGTCTTTCCGATGGTCAAGACATGATACTTACAGTTCTGAGGGAACTCATAGTTGTCCGATGAGGCGTTGGGGAAGTACTGCAGCCGACATTCGTCGGAGGTTTTGGCCTGTATACAATCCATGTAGGCGGTGGTACAATCTCGGTCGCCGTTTCCGAAGCCGTACCCTATGATCGTCATACTCCTGCTAGAAGCAGTGGGCGCGTTCCAACTGCCGACGATGTTGCACCGGCACTTGTACTTGGGCAAGTTCGGGTTGTACAGATTGATATCATCGTTGCAGCCTGCAAGCTTCGCCTCGGGTGAGCAGGGGACCTGAAAGTTGGGAGCCATGTAACACCAAGGGACGGCATCGGGGAAGCACTGATAGTAGAGCTTGCCCTTGTACTCGAACGGGAAGGCACAGGGAGCCTCGGGGATCAGCACCTCGCCGTTGAGGCAGGCGTAACCGTTCTTGATGCAGTCGGGGACGTCTGGCACTGCCGTGCAGTTGGCCTGTATCCCCCCTGCATGGGTGAAGTTGTACAGTTTCATGCAGTTTTCCGCAGTCGTCTGCTGAGCTGGAGACGCACAGACGCCTAGGATGTGGTCGCCTGCTGTAGGAAGGTGACTGCGCAGGTCCACGGAGGATGAGGAAGAGTTCCTCTGCCGACCGCTCTTGGCACTTTCTGACTTGCTCTCGCGGCCAACTGCGAGGCCGGACAACCCATTCAGTAGGAGCCCAGCAAGGTACCTATGCCCGCTCAAGATGGCGAGGTCACGAGCGCTGCGCCGCTGGTGGTCTCGAGCAGTGATGCTTGCTCCTAGCCTCATGAGGCTGATACAGAACTGCACGTTCCCCCTCATCGAGGCGATGTGCAGGGGGGTCATGCCCAGCGTATCTGTTTGGTTGACGTTAAGCCCGAGCTCCGTCACGAGAGCCTCGAGGTTTCGAAGTTTTCCTGTTGTCGCCGCATAATGCAGGAGACTCCCTGCTCCAAGGAAGTCTGAGCAGCCCCTGATGTCTCTAGCATCTTCCTTCTTCAACAAGTCGCGCAGCTGCTGGTCTAGACCATTGCTAAGAACCTCCTTCACTTGTAGGCAGAGGGGTGCCTTGCTTTCTATCATGCTGTGAGAGTTGGCAGCGGCAAAGGATAAGAGTACGAAGAGGCAGCAGAGCTGCATAAGACTGCGATATGAACCATGTCTCATTAAAGTCATTGATACAGGCTGCACCAGTTGCCGAGCCATCAAAGGATCCTGTCCTTCATCTATGCTGAGGGATAAGCAGGCACGGTCGCTGTCTTCTTCTGCATTGCAAGGACGGTCCGGAAACTATGCTGCAATAATGTCTTCGCTTCGGTCAGGCTTGATGCCCATTCACCCAACGCTTCCACCCGTCTCCCCCTCTTTTTGCTTCCTCACCAACCCACTCTAGATTCTCTTTGCTCCCCACTCCTCAGAGTTTATCCTTCTCTCCCCTCCTCTCCTCTCCCTGACTTCTGCTATCCTCCTCTCCTCCCTCCCCTTCACTTCTCTTCTCCTCTCTTCTCCTCTCTTCTCCTCTCTTCTCCTCTCTCTACTTTTCCAAGTCAAGCCATCACCCCTTTGTCTGAACAGCCCTACCCCACCGACCCCTCCCTGATTACGACACCACCTGCTAATTATACCTTGTACTTTCCTATACCTACCCTTTCCTAAATCAGAAATTTCCCCATGAAAGTACCCCTTTCATTATGACCCTACCCCCTTTATTTCATGTGACCACTGCTCGACCCCTTTGGTGTGTTGACCCAGTATGACGTCCCTTGATGGACTTCCTGCCTCATCCCCGCTCTTGCCCTCGGGCCGGTCCGGCCGCCGCCGATCACCGGGTCACCGGGTTGGCAGTGACTGAACGGAATAACGGTCATTGAGTGAAACGGTCTGTAACCGACCAATTGAGTTGAGTTGACTAGCCCGCCTTCATGGCCAGAAGAAGCCAGGAGGACGAGGACGAGGACGAGGACGAGGACGAGGAGGACGAGGAGGACGAGGACGAGGAGAGGAGGAGGTAGAGGAGGAGGTAGAGGAGGAGGAAGCAAAGAAGCAAGGGAAAGAGAGCGGAAAGGGAAAGATGACGGGAACGAGGACATTCCGAGGTTGAACAAATGATATGGAACACCTCTATCTCCAGCAGATCGCTTCAATCATGCTGCTTAGAATGTCGAGATGCTGAGACCTGAGCTCTTGATAGACGTGAAATCGAACCAGCCAGTCGAGGGCTTCTCGAAGATGGACGGGCAGGGAGACTTGGTGGAGAAGACAAGGATTAGGTTCAAAGTCCCACCGCACTCCCTCACTCGTCCCTCCACTCGCTCCACCTCCTCTCTCTTCCCCCCCCCCAGCCCCCCAGCCCCCCTCCTCGTCATCTCTTTTCCCGTCTCCCTCTACCCCTGCCACTTTCGAATCCTCCTCGCATCAACATGCTTCATTACTCCTCTTCACCCCGACCCTGCTCCTCTCCTCTCTTTTCCCCACCTTCCTTCGTCATCATCGTCAGACTGACCAGCATGCAGGTACAGGCGCTGGAAGCAGAATCAACCAGATTCTCAGGGAGGGCACTGGTGAGGTTTCATTCCATGCTCCAGCTGCGCGTGAAGATAGTCCTTCAGGTACGAGGCTCAAGACTTGGCACGTTTTGCCAGCAACCAAGAAGACTACAACGCTGGTAAGGGGCGAGGCGATCCTGCAACCACCTAGCTCCTCTTAAAGCACTTGCAGAGCTGCGATCCCTGCTTGCAGTTAGAGAGCAATCCTCACAGAGGTGGTTCGATGGTAGAGGGACACTCGTTGAGATGACGTGATGACGTAGAGGGATGTTGGAGTTTGCGATGATTGTTTCAGACTGCGTTCGAGATCTCAAGGTGAGATTTCGATGTGTGTCTGTTTTGTCTCCTCGACTTACAAGGTTTTCTGCAGGCTGACGTCACGAAGGTCCAGGTGGAGCTGACGATAATGGAGGGAGGTGGAGGTGTAATGCAGTACAAACAGGCGATTATGATGGAAAAAGCGATAGAGTTAGACAAGGAGGAGATGTTTGCAATGAGGTCTGCTTGAGTTCGGTGGTCGGAATTGGGGGATTGAGCACGATCATGCAGGAAGAAGAAGATTGAAGAGCTGATGGATTACTGGAGCGAGCGAGAGGTAGGAGGGGAGAGAGAGCAAGTGAAGAGAGATGGAGTTTCCTGCAGGCGTTTAGGTTGGAGAAGCTCGAATCTCAGAAAGAAGAGCTGTTGAAACAGAAGAAGGAAGCCATCGCTGAGGTTGCTGAGTATTGTTGATGTGCAACCTCACCTTGGCTATCAGCTGAAGAAGAAGCAACAAGCAAAGTTCAAAGGCTCAAGGTGTGTATGTACGGTAGGAAGAAGGGAACGGACAACAAAGGAGAAGAAGTATACATGAGAAGAGAGGAAGAGCAGGAGAGGAGGGAAGGGAAGCAGGAGAGGAGAAGAACTGAGACGAGGGGAGAGAGGAAAGGGGACACGTGTTACCGCACGATGTCATATCGCATGCGTCTCCTGCTAAACTTGTTTTCTTTTAGTTCACTTGCAGACTTGCAAAGAACATTCGACACACTGGTCAAGCTTTTCCTCCCTCCCTCCCTCTCTCCCTCCTCCTCCTCCTCCTCCACCTCCTCCTCCTCACCCTCACCCTCACCCTTATCCCCCCAAATGTTGTCCTCTTCTGTCCAGCAAGACTGAGAAGCCAATGATGATGATGACGACGACAACGACGACGACAACGACGACAACCGCAACGATGTTTATGGAGATGAAGGAGTCGATGATGATGATGATGATGATGACAACGACTACAATGGTGTTGTTGATAATGATGACGTTGATCAGAATCCTGCAGATGTGGGGGAAAAACTTTGAGGCTGCTTTGCAAGTCAGGTCACAGCTGACAGCTATGGAGGCTCAGGTTGTGCGACTTCTGCCGCCCATGGAGAACGAGGCTCTGACGTACAAGGGCAGGAGAGAGCGCAGTTTGATGCGAGGATCGAGAAGGAGATGAAAGTTCAGGCGAACAAGGTGACAGTCAGTTTCTTCACTTGTCTGCGAACAGCGGTGACGTCCAAGTCTGAACAGATCGAGATGAGGTTTATGAGTGAGCTGCAGAAACCTGAACGTAAGACGTTCATGACGACATGTAAGCTCCTCTTCGAACTCCGTTTGCTTTCTCCAGGTCGAGGCGGACAATGAGAAGTTTGAGATGATAAGATTGCGGTGACATGCATCTCCTAAATCATCATCATCATCATCATCATCATCATCTCAGTGACAACGCGATCGAGGATGCAGAGCGGCAGTATGAGGTGCAGATGAAGCAGGTGGGGAGCCGGAGGGATGAGGAGGAAAAGGAGGAGAGCAGAGACATCAGAGACCTAATTGCGATCACGACAGGTAGAATGCTCCAAGAGACACAAGGCGGCGAAGGCGAAGCAAGAGGCTGAGACGGTGATTGAGTTCAACTCTCATCATTATCACCATAATTCTATCATCACATTCAAATACCTCCTTGTCTCTCGTCTTCTGTTCTGACCCATTGTTTATTGCACTTGTTTTGTCTTGCAGGCCATGATGAATTCTCAGCAGCATGTCGCGGTATCTTCACAGCCATCGTTCAACTCCTCTTCGTATCTGACAAGTCCCATTGCATTCAGAGCAAGTCAGACGTCGATCACGTCAAGAAAGCAAGTAAACCCAACAGACAGACAAGGAAAGGAGTCATCATCAGCAACCTGAGCGAGACTCTAGCTGCGGAACGGGAGAGAAAGGAGCAAGAGGAAGATCGAAGGTCACAAGGTGTTGTGGTTCAGGGCTTGCAAGCTCAAGAGAGGATGCTAGGTTGGAACAGGAGAGGGTTGCAGAGGAGAAGAGGGCATTTGTCAAACGACAGACGAATGTACATGTTTTCAGTTGGCTTGTTGTTGTCAATGTCAACTCTTCTCAGATCTTCTTGTTGTCTCCTCGATCCATTGTGGAGAGATCAACAGCAGGCAGGAAACAGGAGACAAACGACTTGAACAACTCCCTCCTGTCTCCGCGGTGATGTTTCTTATGATCGTCTCCCTTCCTCCCTCGTCATCAAAAGCAGCTGAATCATTTAAACAATCATGCTTTTCAAGTCATCATCATCATCATCATCATCATCATCATCATCATCATCATCATCATCATCATCATCATCATCATCATCATCATCATCATCATATCTGATAGCACAGCTCACTTTTATCGCCGTCATCTTTCCCCCTGTCATCGCATTCACCACGATTCCTTGCTTTGACTCCGCAGGACAGGTTCTCATCGCAGACCTCCATCAGTAAGAACACTTTCAAGATCTCACATTCAACGTTTTGGAGGTAAAACTGCATCTCTCCATCGGCCACTTGACCCTCTTGCCGTCCTCCTTGCGATCAGGGATGAGAAGTCATCAGCGATCAGAGCGGAAGACCTCTCATCCCAGCCATCCCGGCTCAACAACTCTCGAGAAGAACTTGAGATGATTGCTAGGGTATGCAAAGCTGTCATCCCTATTGATCTCAACCTCCTCCCATCAGAGATCAGAGCTCGAGAGCCTCGGTCTGCTCAGCGGAGGCGATGGGAAGGGGGTCGGCGTGAAGAGAGATGAAGACAACAGAGTTGTCAGTGCAGTATTTCTTGCAGTCTTGCCGTTGTGTTTACACGTTGTTCATGATCAGGTTGTTATCCGTCACCCGATGGAGACAGACAGTCAGGTGAAAGAGAAGACAGAGTCGACAAGCAGCGTCTGCGTCATTGACGGTGTTGTTGGCCCAGTACAACTTGAGGAAAAAGATCCGCAGCAACAAGGAACGGGACACGTTTTCAAAGAAGGTTCACAACCCACATCACTTGTTCTCCTCCCTCATCTGATCGCAGAACGAAGTGCAAACATCAGGAAGGCTGCGAACAAAGAAGACAAGCTTGTCGCAGAAACCAGCAGACGCTGATGTGAACGAAGCAAGCTGATCTCCCCCTCATAATCCTGACGCTGCATGCTGGCAGGGGTTCGCTGACTTTCAAGAAGCGCGTCAGGTTCCACTCGATCTCTTCCTCCTCCACCCTCGTGCAGATCCAAAAACAAAAATGTCAAACAAGTCAAACACGGGGTTGAGCGATAAAGTTCAAGGCAACGAGCCCAGCAGGACTCCGCCTGAGGTGTTTCCTCCTCTCCCCTTCTTCATCCTCTCCATCCTCTCCCTGCTACTGCCTTCATTCCCTTGCTCTCCTTTTCCCTTCTTTTCCCCATCCCTTCTTCTTGCTATTGTCTCTCCCCTCCCTGCTCCCCTCCTGCTCCCCTCCCTCCCCTCCCTGCTACTCCCCTCCCTGCTACTCCCCTCCCTTCTCCCCTCCCTTCTCCCCTCCCTTCTCTCCTCCCCTCCCTGCTACTCCCCTCCCTTCTCCCCTCCCTTCTCCCCTCCCTTCTCTCCTCCCCTCCCTGCTACTCCCCTCCCTTCTCCCCTCCCCTGCTCTGTGTAGGACTCATTCTCCTCATCTCAGTCACCCATGGATGATCTCGACGATTTCTTGCGCCGCCACTTGTCCGACGAGGATCCAGCAAGCAGGCCTTCCTCCTCCCAACCCCCTGCTCTCCACAGGCGGGAGGCACCGGAGGCTCCTCCCTCCTCCGGGTCGTCGCGGCACTTGAACGACTTTGGGGAGGTGGATATGCTGATCGGTAGGAGAAGAGAGAGCTGCTGCCGTTAACTCACGTTGCGCAACTTCAGTTGATGCCATCAGCCTGTTGCCTGTCAAGCTCGTCGACCTGCTGCTGTCAAGGTGTGATGAGAGCCTAGACTCCGTTCCCAGCTGAAGAGGAACTGGAGTTGACCCTTGTTTGCAGCTGGGAAAGGGAGGGATTGTTTACTTCGGACGATATCGAGAGCAAGAAGAAGATGTACCTGCTTTCTCTGTCCTCTTCTCCTCTCCTGAGGCTCCTGCTCCTCCTCCTCTCGTATCCTCGCCAACTCTCTTGCCCCTTCCTCCTGTCTTGCTCTCCTCACTCAGTCACTTCTCCTGCCGCAGGCTCAAAGACGCCAGGAGGGCTCAGGTCTCCTACAACATGCAACATAAGTAAATCATATCATCACCAGTAGCACCTGACATACTAGTCAAATTTTACTCATCAAACTCAACAATCCGGTTCCGACTCTAGATCCCGGCCCGGCAGTCGGCGGCCCGGCAGAGTCGGCCCGGCAAGAGTCGGCCCGGCAAGAGTCGGCCCGGCACACTCATAGCGATGAGGAGGTCTGCAAGCAGCTGCGCTACAAGCTCTCTATGTCCAGTGCAAGTGAAATGGAAGTCATTTCTTGAAGATGAGGCTTGTTGTGTGTAGGCTATGACGGGCGTGCTTGATATTTGAAAAAGCATCGAGCTCAAAGAGGGGCAGGTAGAGAGGAATGGAGCGTCGGCAATTGCAGAGAGAAGGCAAGATTGCAGCGATGAAAGAGAAAATGTCGAAATATACCAAACAGTTACAAGGCAAACAGCTAAAGAACTGCTTGTATCTCCCATCTAGTAGAGTCTGACAAGACACTATGGAGACCCAAGATCTAAGAGTCTGAATCAGCGGCGAGAACTGAAGATGGACGTGTGTTTCAACTTCAGGTCCGACATCAACCCCCAAGGGTAAAAGATCTTTCGATTCTCGTCAAAAGTGAAACAGAAGAAGTCTCCATCTTTGCCCATCGTGCACGTATGGTTCTTCTGGCATACCCAGACTTCAATCGAGTTTGGGATCATCAACTGACCCAGCCCGCCGGTCATGAACCGAACTTGCTTCTGGTGAGCAAGAATCTCAACGAGCTCTTTCCAGCTGTGTGTCATGGTGCAGTTCGAGTAGTGATTTCTGAGGGGATAGACAGGATCTGGGATACAAGTGAGATTATCGGGTCTGAGAGCAAATGGACTGTATCCTTCCTTGCACTTCCACTTGTCCATGCCTGGTGGCTCGGGTGTGGTCATTACCGGGGTAGTTGAAGGCGAGGTCACTTTAACTTGCACGGGGGTTGTTGTAGTAGAGCTGAACGATGAAGTTGTCGTGAAGTTGGTTTTGTTGGCTTCCTGAGAGATCTTTCTTGTGTTGTCGTCGGCAGAGATTTTCTGTGATGTTCCTGTTTCTGACGTGTTGGTCGCGTTGAGCATTTCCGAGGAGTTGGTTGAGTTATCATCGGAAGGAAAGCTGAGAGGCGCAATCGTATAGCTGGAAAAATAAGATGTCGCACTGACCGATGAGAACAGATCAGTTCCTAGCCCCGCCTTGACGGCCTCGGTGTTAAGGGAGGAGGCAATCAGATTCTGCGAAGCTTTGGATGCGTACAACTTGCTCTTGGTGCTGATCGCAGCCTTGATCAAAGTTGAGGAAGACGAATCGCTGCTCTCACTGTTGATGATAACGTCACTCTGCGTTGCAGGGGGTCCAGCAACGTTTGCAAGAACAGTTCGGATGATATCTCTTGCCGTTGACGTCAGACTCGTCGATGCTGCTGCGTAGGTGAAGCTGACGTTGACCCACAGCTCAGATGAAGGCTGGACGATAACCTGGGGGATACACTTGATGAACATACATCCCACAGTCAACGTGCTCGTGTCATCCCAGAATCCATAGGTCACCGGGTTTAGACCACTCTCTGAGAACATCTTCTCTTGGCCGATATCATTCAAGATTTGATCAAAATGAGCTTGATCAGTGACATTGACAAAGAAGGAGACCTTGACTAGAAACGGTTCTGACGTTGTTCTCAACTTGGAATGCTTGTGCTTGCCCTCCCGGTGCTGTCGTCTTGTCGCTGATTGGACCGCGCCCTTTAAAAGTCCAGACGACCTTGCCGTTCTTGCGAGAGCACTTCCAACCAACTTCAGATCGTCGGCTTCGACATTGTTCGTGACTGCAGCAAAGGAAGCTTGCCACACGTCTCCCGTGTCCTGGTAGGTGGTGACAAAGTCATACGCCCCCCATCCCAACCTTATAACAACCCCATAAGGAGGCGGAATGAAGCCAGATGCTGTCCTGAGGATATCGAGCTTGAGAGAGTCAGAGAAGCTGGAGTCAGCGGCGACGTCGGCGGTCAAGGAGTAGGAGATCTTGATGATGTCGATCTGCGCTAGAGTCTTGGGCTTCAACACGAAGCCAAGACTCATGTCCACCAGAAGACTTTCTGCCGTCTCCACCAGAGTGTCGAACTCAGAGGACGAGAAGGTCGATCCTCCACACGTACCCCTGCATCCCCAGAAGAATCCTTGATCGCAGCAGCCGCATGTTCCCGAGTCTCTTTGACTGCATGGGCCCGTGCCTGTTGAGTCCCCACAAGATCCCAGGCAGCCGTAGAATATTCCAGAGGAGCAGCATCCACACTCATACGTTGATCGATCGCTGCAAGGCCCTGACCCTGCTCCTCCGCATGTTCCAGAGCATCCGTACAAGTATCCATCATCACAACAGCCGCATCGACCAGTTCGCCTTGTCGAGCATGGCCCTGTGTCTGGGGTGCATGGACAGCATGTAGTGCAACCGAAGAAAATACCCTCTTCACAACATCCGCAATCGCAGGAAAAGAGACCAAGAACCGAAGACGAACTACCAGATGTCGACAAGGATCCATTGCCGGCATGAGGAAGCGATCTGCGACCTGGTGTGAACGCATGCAAGGTAGAGCGAAGCATTTTGGGAAGGTTTTGTTTGGCAATGGTGAGCTTTGCTCTAGTTCTCAACATGGCAGAAGACATCGCCAAGGCAGATCTATGCTCATTCCTAGGGTTCATGATGAACCCAAAGTACAGGGCTGCCATGATCGCCGCCATGGCCGTCATCGCCGTCACCATCGCGCACCCTCGCATCATCTTAACCATCCCCATAGGCTGGACTGGTCCTCACCTGATCCCCGAGCCTAACCACCCCTATTGCACCCCTACCCTGACCCCTCCCCCCCACCGTTTTGTCTGGCCCTACGGGTGCTTTAGATCTTTTTTCCGAAGTTCACAATGACCATTCGAGTTCCCTCTGGCACGTGACTGCCAGTAGTGACGGTAGACCACCCCCGCTTTTAACTTATCGGACGGGGGTAGAAAAGTCATGAGTGACTGAGAGCGGCCGGGCCGCGTGGCGGGCGCGGTCACCGGCGTACGGCCATCCCGCCGGAAGCGGCCCCGGACCGTACGGTACTCGGAGCCCCGGACCGGGACTGCCCGCTGCCAGTGGCACGTGTCAGAGTCACGTGGGTGAATCGTTGAACGAAAATAGCTCAGTTACGACCTTGCCGAAAGATCGTGGCAGTCGGAGTTTTAAGGCCCGACTCTGACTCAACAGACTATATTTTTACTCAAAGTTAAGTTAAAAATCAGTACGAGGACAATCAGGAGAGTCGAAAGGAGGCTTGATCGGACCCTGACACTGAGGCCACCATGGCAGCGAGCTGACGATACTATCAGTTAGCAGTCGCAACTTGGCAAGGTGACCGTTGGAGGACCAATTGGCATCTTCAACCGGTGGCTTGCGGCGTACCCTTGCGCGTGCCCAAGGGACAATCAGTCTGAAAGTGGCAGTCGCTTCTAGTATGAAATTAGTGTCTTTGCAATAGCAGGTATAATGTCCCGAGGCGGGCTGGTATTTGTTTTGTAAAAATGGAACTGCAACCGGTCGCAACCACAAGATACGAACCGTTGGGTCTTTACAAATCAGCTATAACCGTCTCTCCTAAGCTCTCCTAGCCTTGAAGCTCTCCTACCTTGAACAACCTTGAAGCTCTCCTACCTTGAAGCTCTCCTACCTTGAAGCTCTCCTACCTTGAAGCTCTCCTACCCTTGAAGCTCTCCTACCCATTGAAGCTCTGCAACACATTGAAGCTCTTCTGCCCTACAAGATTTCATTCAATGCTGCCTGATCGCCCTTCTGTCTTCGTCGCTCCTCGCCCTAGACGGGACCCCCTTGAACCAGCTCCTTTGCCCAGCACTCAGATCCGCCTCTCCCCCGCCATCCTGCAGCCTCTCTTCAACCTCAAGCGTGACGCCGCTGCCCAGCATCTGGTATGCCTCTCCTCTACTCTTGTCTGCATCCCCCTATCTGACCTCTCCCTCCTGCTGCCAGGGCATCTCTCTCTCGAGCCTCAAGTCTGCCTGCAGGAGGCTCGGCATCACTCGCTGGCCGGGGCCCCGGCAAGCAGGCGCCGACACTGATGATGTGCAGGAGCCGCCGGCAGAGCAGGCAGATCAAGAGGAGAGCCGGGGCCCTGCCACTACTGCAAGTTCTATCACCATTACTACTACTAACCCTACAACTGTTACCCCTTCCTCCCCTTCCTCCCCTTCGCTCCCTTCCCCCCCCTCCTCCTTTTCCTCCCCCTTCTCCTCAGCTTCTGAGCATGAAGAGCAAGAGCACGAACGGGTTGGTTCGGAAGAGTCAAACTCTCACAGCGCCAGCGGCTCAGGGTCGTGTGGCACTGGCGTGGCAGCTGCAGCAGCTCGACAGGTGGGAGCTGAGTGAGGGCCAAGCGTGGACGTCAAGCATAGCGGAAGCGACCGGCACTTTCGCAAAAGAAGAGAACAAGAACGAGTGGCAAGGCGATCACGAGGAGGAGGAGAAAGCATGCATACGAAGAGCATGCTGAAGACATGTTTGATGAGCTCGAAAGTTTCTGATCGTTGGAAGTCTTCGATCGATAGCGAGCTGCATGATGTGGTTGGTTTCTTCCGGCACGCAGCATCTCTGAACGTGCTCTTTTGTTCAGTGCAGCAATGGACGTTTTAACCTGCTCTCCATGCACATGGACTGCGGAAGTACAAACAAGACTCTTAAATGTACAGGCTGGTGATCGGCAACAAAAGGAGAAATAGTTTCGATACTAAAGAACAAACTTTATAAAACGAAGTACACCTACTATCTGATATTGTACAATGCACTTTCAGTGAAGAATGAATCACTTGCTGAGACTAGTATCCTTGCTCTTGGCTCTGTGAGACCAAGTTTGTGTATAGTCTGGAAGTCCCTTTGGAACCTAAGCAAGGAACTCATCACCCTCACCCTCACCCTTACCACCACCACCAAAATCATCATCATCATCATCACC